AAAGCGAGGCATCTTCCCGAGAATTTCAACGAAGCCAGGTACATCGGCTTCGCCATGAACGTTTTACTAATATCCTGGGTCTCATTTTATCCAGTGGATTCGTCCTTGGAGGGATATTACACCACCATAGTTGCATGTGCCACAGCCCTGGTCACTGCATATGGACTTCTGCTGTGTATTTTCGCTCCTAAACTCTTTGTTATTGTTTTGCACCCAGAGCAAAACACACACGAGTTCATGAAAGCCCAAATTGGTCAGTTTACGTCAAGCGTTTCGCAAGTTAAAATGACGGTCCAGCCCGCCAGTGGAATTGAAAATGACTCTTGTTGCTCTACGACATGAGCACTGTTGCGGTAAAACAAACCTTTGAAGTATACAAAGTAGATAAAGTGGACTGCAAAGTTTGGTCGTGGCACTTATTGGAGGAGAGCGTAAAATTAATCTTATTAATAAGCAGTTTAAAACAGGGAAGCTGTAGGTTTCTAAGAATTTTGTAAATACTCAACGAAAGAGTCACGATCTTCATTTCCTCTACGGCAAAAGTTTGCTTTACATATCCACAACTATATAGGTGCAACGGCTAAGATCATTCAAGTTCGTAAAGTAGTTTCCCCTCGGCAAACATGGGACAAACTCGTTTGCATTGTTTATGTTTGTTTGTTTGCTTTTACTATGCGATTTTTATTAAGACCGGACGACTGAAAGATAAGTACAGCCAGCGAAGTCATTAAGCTCTCGGTATTTTACCTTTTTGACACCTGAGGGCGACTAGAATCTCATTTTTTACTAAGGTATCACTGCTGAATCAAACAATAGGCTCGTGAGAACAAAGAAAATAACCGCAAACTTAAAAAGCTTTTGATTTTTAACAAAATTCTTCTCATCAGTGCTCTAGGAAATATACAACGAATAATATGGAGAATATACATGCTTATGTTAGGGCCGTAAATGGTCAATAGTATATAGAAAGAGCAGAATCTTCAAATTAAATCAAGAGAAATGAAAAATGGATGTGATAGGTCTAGTATGCAATTGAAATCATCCTTTCGTTTCTTAATGTACTGCACCTTACGGTCGTTTGATTTGAACTTGTTCATTTTCGACCGCAGAGAGTGATTTTCTCACAATGTCGGTGACAGGTTAACTTGGGATTGAATAAGGGGGGGTAAGTTTCTAAAGAGATTGTGGTGCTGTGTCAATGGGAGTAACCAGGTAACTTTGGTTTATCAACTGAGTTGATAAATGTAAATTGGCCACCGTAGAGGGTTTTAAAAGTTGACGTTTCGAGCGTTAGCCCTTTGCCATTCGCTCTGACGAAGGGCTAACGCTCGAAACATCAGCTTTGAAACTTTCTACGGTGGCCAATTTACATTATCAACTGATTTGATAAAACCAAAATTAACTTGGGGTTGATTAACCTTTTTTACACCCTAACATCAATATGCATATTCTCCATACTGTTCTCTATACATTTCCTAAGGTGCTGACAAGAAGAATTTGTTTGACTATTAAGAGCATCTTTAGTTGGTGATCATTTCCTTTATTCTCCTGACCTTAATGTGATTCAGGGGTGATACTGTAAGGAGAATTTAGATGCTAGTCACTTTTAGGGGTTTGAAAGGTTAACATTTGATTGACACTAAGTAAATATACGTCAATAGCCATTAACATTACACGTTATTAATGAGCCAGCACTCCTGATGAACAGCAGTATTCCATGTCAAAAAATAAAAGAAAATTTTACACTATAAAATTGCAATTTGCCGATACCTTCCAGACGCTTTATATGGGAAAGTTAAGACTAAAACGATTTCCAAATAACACCTTTATTTCTCTTTGAAAAAATTCTCTCTGAACGGTAAAATTATTAAATTATTAAAATTATTATTTTATTATTGGACTTCAATACGCTTTTTGTTAATTTTCTCGTGATATTTTCAGTTCGCTTAAGTAGAGGGAGCGATACCAAGAATCTTCATTTTCTAAATGTTTAAAGATACTGCTAAATCCTGCAAGGTTCACGGGGAAACGATTACTAAAGTGTTGTTGGTTTAAGTGGCTTCAGTTCTCAAAATATACTCGAGAATGGGTCAAGACGTTACGTACTCAAAATGTGCAATGCATAGCTGATAAAGTGAAATACTTAGCAGGCATAAGCGTTTTCGAATAACTTCTAAAGGAATTTTAAAACGATATCGTTGGCTTGCTAAAAACCGGACATGTTAGGTTTCATGGGCTGGAATCGAGAAGACAATTGCTTGTAAGATACCAGAATATCTCAGCCTTGTTGCGGATAAAGAAACTGTATGACAGCTACGAGAAAGACAGTCTTTAAAATTAATTATTTTCCTCGAGGAATTAGCCACATGGACTACAAAACATTTAGAATTGAGAAGAAATTGGATTCAGTCAAGGTTATTCGAGATCTCTAAGGACATAAGTGACTCAGAAGGTGTTTCGGCGTTACTTTCGCTTTTCTCGCAAAAACTTCAACGACAAAACGAAATCTCAGTTATCAAAATGTTATGGTTTCGTTACAAATCCGGATTATATCCTTAAGTGTAAACATGGTCCGAGTGCTAAAACCAGCAAGCAAGTCGGGAGATTTTATTTCAAATGTCTAAAGAATCATAATAATGAAAAAAAAAAAAAACTTCCTTCATGAAGAAAACTTTTGTTAACTCATTAAGAAGTGGAACCAGAAATGAGTCAATTGCTGTAAAGAACATTCGCAAAAGAGAAAGTAATATTTAAAATGAATGATCACTAAGTCGAAATTATAATTAGCTAAGTAGCAGGTCAAATTCACTCTCAAACCGTTACCTGACAATCACCTTAAGAGAAAACATGGATGAATGAGTCCTTCTTTAGCCCCGCTCACTGCCGCTAATTTGGTTGAAGCCTTATTGTCGCTAATGAGACAGGGCTGGTCAATAACAAACGCAAAAACCACTCACCATTCTTCCTCCAATTTGATCTGTACGATTCTTCTCATTCAGGCAAATATGTTTCTTAAACTGCAGATGACAAATTCCCACTCACTCAAGTCTGGTCTTGTGTGGAACTTGCGCCAAAAGGAGACACTGGCCCACAAGGTTGCCATTGTGGCGACACATGATTAACTCCGTGTCACAATGGCCCGCCATTTTCTTCAATAATCCGAGTTTTTCTTTCCCTTTCACAAAGGAAACTTCAACAAAGCTATGATTTGGTCGTTGAGTAAGAAACAAAAGGTGCGTGGGCCTCACTAAGATAAACACGTGGAAAAGAATCAATTGTCGCTTGTTTTCCGCATAATTGCCTTAACATTAAGTCTGCTTCAATTGGTTTTGTGGCACGCTTCAGGGGAGCTAAAAATTGACGATTTTTCTGTGTTCTTGTCTGCTGGATACTCTATACCTGTAGCTAAAGAAACGTATATTTCCCTTTATCAGCTGGAAATGCTTGAAGACACTAATGTATTTTTCTAATCCTCAAATTTGAGTGCTAATCCCTTCGATGACCTTTAGCGAGAGAGGACAATTTACTGTTTCGTGCGAGGCAAGGCGCAAATTAAATCTGCATTTATGAGGACAATAAGTTACCACTTTTAAGTCTGGTGGGCTGGGAGAAAATGAAATTTGCCTTTAAGGATAGCTTAAATCTCCATTTGCGACAAAAAGCGTGAAATAATTCTTTCATAAATGTCGTTCGAGCGTGTCGCCGTGGCCAAAAAGAAACGTAACGATATTTTTCTACAATTTAAGTGAGTGACAATGAGCCTCGAGAACTCCCGTTTCTTTTATTTTGAAAATTAAATGTTTTTTAATCGCAACCGATACTTCTCGTATCTTAAAAGTAATGTTTTCTCTTTGTTTTGTTTTGTTTCGCTTTCTACGCACCTTCGATCTGAGTTCTCTTGGATGATAGCTAGTGTTCCGAATCCATCTCAAATAAAATGACGGTAATTCAATTAAAAAGCCGTTTGTAACTTTCCTTTTAGCGGTTGGTTTAGTTAATTGTCTTGCTGTGTCAAAGTTGACTTTTATTCAGGAGCAATATGCTTAAGAGAAGTTGTTTTCTCTGCCTTAAAGTTGCTGCCACCTGAAAAGATATTGCCCGCGGCAACAATTGCGTCTTCGTGAATACATCTTATTTACACTCGCATATACATTACACCTTTAATGAAATGAAGAACTAAGAGTCTCTATAAAGAAATTTGATCACGAATAAGCTTCTTTAAGCTAAAAAATTATCCGTTCAACTCTATAAATTATTCTGCCCATAAACGAATGTTTTTCACATATCGTGAATTGGGACACATCAATTATGTACCATGGTATTTTTTGTTCCAAAATTGTAAATACCATTATAAACTGAAAAATTGTAAATAATCAATATTTTTAAGTAATACCGCTCGTGATTTATATATTTTTAAGCTCGTTAAGACCAAATGTACGTTAATCTTTTCATACTGAACTTCAGAATTAACACATAATTTCCAGTTGAATTTCTCGTGGACCCTGTAGTCTACAAGACTGACGTAAAAGCTTGTTCAACTGCCCAGATGTTGTAATAATCTTATATCCTTATGTTTGTCCCTTCGGTAACTTTATCTTGATACAATCGATGTTTTTAATTCCATTTTAACAATAACCTGCCTTAAAACTTCTATAGTTTCTTTATCATAGAGTATTAGAGAATGTTTCCTTGTCTTTTGTCATGATCAGGCTGTACAATTTTGTGCAAAAACAACATGATCACAGACAATCGAGAACTGTATTAGATTACCAACTAAAATTAATAATTGCCAACACTTTGGCTATTTTTCTCGTGGGAAATACTCGTCTGCTCCGTGGTGGAAATTTCCCAACGCATTACGGCAACAATCGAAGTTGCAACGCCGGCTTCTGTAAAGTTGATACATGACAAAGCGAGCCCCTCATTTAACCACACCTTCACAGCTGATGAAAGCTTTCAAAGAAGAAATTTTACACGAATCAAATTAGTTAAACATTCAAATGTGCCAAGAGGACGGAAAGTGGTAGTTCTCTGCGCTAATTATGGCACCTCTGGTCCTTAAGTCTAAAATTGCCGGATGAAAAAAATAATCGTTTTTACTGAAGCTGATCTATTTCGACATTTGCCACCCTGTTTGAACAACACGCTCTCCAAATTCCCACAATCTTCTCCTTTATCCCTGAAGCGACTTGATATGCAACTTACTCGACAACGAATCATTTCAGAATATTTCGATTTAACAATGAGTTTAAAGGACGTGTTTGGAAAAAGCTTTAGAAAAAACATTGAGTCTTTTTGTTCTGGGAGTGAACAAGGCCGCAAAGCTTATGCAAGACCATCAGGTTACCATGACGACAAATGAATTTTGAGAATGATGGATGTATTTGCCCCCGAGAATTGAGTGATTGTTTTGAGTTCTTGATGTGCGCTTGAAAATTTAGCTCTTGTAGTGCCTTTGTTGTTTGTATTTCTCAACCCTTTAATGTTGCCACTTTGCCATAAATTCAGTCATATTTTCACATGAAAAATTGAAGGTTTATTGTGGCTTATGCAGTTTAAGAAGTCCTAAAGAAAAACATTTATGCCTCATGATTTCTCAGAATTCCCACTACACCCCCTAGTGGTTTGGACCATTAGGAAAGAATTCTCTCGTGAGAAACTTTTGAAGAATTGCCGGTTTCGCTGGGATCAACTCTTCTCTTCCCTTTCCTTGTTACTCTCACCGCTTGGGTACAGATCCCTTGATATGAAACCATTGACTACGTGCAAGGAATAAGTGACTTTAATCTGCAATTAAAGAGTTTTCTTTACGTAACGACTACTATCACAACAAAATCTATGTCAAAGTCAGCTAGTGATAACCATTGCATTACTGTTCGTGTCCAATGAGAGCTTAAACCGCGTGTTACAATCAGAGTCCTCTCTAGATACTTACTCAGCGCCGTCCCAAACACTGTGATATTTAAACCCCATTGCGAAAACGAATTTAGAAATTACCACATCAATAAATAACGAAGATTTACGATTTCTAGCGGAGTCAAATATGCCTTAAATCTACAGCTGGTCAATTCGCTTTCTTGCTAATGTTATCTAACTTACGTATTATAAATTCTTGTGCGATATTACCATAAAAAAGTGTCTCACGAAATAAGAACCTAGCAGCTTTGATCAAAAGAGTTTAACCTTTAATTCAATTTCAAACAACCAACAGTAAACCAGCGTAAAAGACAACAACTTGTCAAATTCTATTTTTTGTATTAATTTACACCTCCAGTTTAGGCATTCCACCTCCGGATTCTATCTTTTTAATGTAGGTGTATATGTCGCGTTAGACATAATTGGATTAATTTCGATTTCAAAGATGTTTTTCTTCTCCCTCACTTTGTTCGAATAATGCCATCTTTTCAGGCAGAATTCACGGAATTTAAGGGAAAAAAATGATCATTCGTTCAGGAAATGCAAGTTTGTGTTGCGTTTCCACGTAGTAATGATAATTTGAAATTGATCACGAACAACAGAGAAAATGAATCCCATTGAGTTGTATTTTTCTAATAGCTTCAACAGCAGTTCAATTTCCTATTTATCCCACGCAAGAGTTAATGATCCTCGACAGTTTTCTGTCGGCAACTAGCCAAAGATTCAATGAACGCATCTTTCATGATATTTCAGTAAAATAAACTTATAGTGAACACGAAGTTTCCTGTATACTACACGGTAGTTAATCAGTAATCTGTACTGGAGTCGTCTCTAACGGACATAAATTTTTCATTAACCTCTACATTAAGTCGATTTTATTTCCATTGCACGGAGGCAAAGGCCGTAAATTGCTTTTAAAGGCCAGATCATCAAAAATTAACCCAGAGATTACAGGTTCATGGAGATTGGACAGTAAAAGCGTTAATTTCAAATGCGTGAACGAGTTTTAGGCGAGTTCATGGTATATTCCATCGTAAAAAACACAAATTGTAAACATACTTTACTCACTTTTAATTGTGTAAGTTAGATCGTCCGCCTTTTCGTCTCTCTCTGAACTAAAAAAAGATGTCTTTCAACTGCGGTGAAAATGGTTTTTTATAAGGAATGAAATCTCCACGTCGAGAGCAAGTCGGTTTTGTGATGGTCATAGGTTATTTAGAAAAAAAAAACAGGTGGTAAAAACCAGAGTCTACAGCGTAAATAATATTTCGATTTACTGTGCATAATTATACATCGACAACCCATGAAACCGTATTTTCGCTACTGGAGCTCTGTTCAGTATCTTGGTTGCGTTATGTAACTTTACCCCCGTAAATATAATTAAATTCTATTTTGCCAGGATTTCTTCTGTTGTGGAAGCTGTAACTGAAAAATTCTCTTTTGCCTTGTTTCGGATGCAAAAATTCTAATATAAACAACTGGTATAAGAAAAACCCCAAATATCTCGTCTTACATTGTTTTGGTAAGATGGAGTTTAAAAATACTGATATTGCGTTCAAGCACATAACGGGCAGTGCTATTCAAAACTCTACAGTTTTTAAGTTTATAACTTTTATTTATTTTTCAAAAGTTTCTTTTTTTCAGCAAAGCCACTTTTGATTCATTTACAATCTTCATGTCCTGATAAAGGTCAGCAAATATATTTTACACACTAGGTACTTTGAGATTTATCTTTGTACAACTTTAAACCAAATGAATTTTCTGTTACATGCTTTTATCGATTGTACACCTTTGAGTTGCTATCCTACTTGATCTCCTCGAATACTGCTTTTTAAAAAAAAATTTACACTATTTGCACTCTTGTACGCAAAAAAAGGTTTGTGCTGGCCCGAAATCTCTTCCTGTGAGAAAAGCTGATGTAAATGATACTAGGCTTTAAAACAAGAAAGGTCCCCGATCGGGAACTGATAGAAACTAAAGGAAAGAGACTGTAAAAAGAAAGTTCTCATCATTAGAAGTTATCACTAGGAAGAACAACAAATAGTAAGTTGGATTTGGCGTCCACTAAAAAGATCCTTACATAAAACGAATATACAGAGGTTTGCACAGAAGTGAGCACTTCACCTTGAGTGAAAAAGAAACCATTTTGGTCTCGGCAAAAAGCGGCGTTTTTTTCTGTTCAATGAAAGAGATACTCTTTATTTCTTATGTTAAGTTTTATATCTTACAAGTGGAATGAGAGTTTTGAACGGAATTGTTCTTTGGCACCAGGGAGGATCAAGGATTATTCCAGAACGAGAGATCACGTTCGATGCTAAGCTTCGGAATCGAACATTTTGCGCCAAAAGCCGACGATAATTGCTCGCGATTTTTACTTGCTTCGTGAGAATTGTCATTTCGGATAAAAAGTATTAGGTCACACCAAATGTTCGTTTTCTTCCTTTTGTAGCTGACTGTTTATTCCATGGCATTCGCTGACACTTATGCCGGTGCTTTTCGCTTGTGACGAAGCTTTTTCTTCAGCCTGTTGACGCTTCCATTTAGTCCGGCGATTCTGGAACCAGACCTTAATTTGCGTCTCAGAAAGACTCAGAAAAGACGCTAGTTGCTTGCGTTCTGTTCCAACAATGTAATGGTTCTTTTCAAAAGCGTTCTCCAAATGAAGAAGTTGCGTCGGAGTGAAAGCCGTTCTGATCCTCTTCGGACGGCGACACGCCACAAACCCTAAAAACAAGCGATACAGTGTCAAAAAGAACAATTACTCGTTTTCAGATTTCACAGATTTTCCGCAGTTTCGTGCTCGTCCTTCCAAAAAGCAAATTAGTGTCTTTCGTTAGAGAAAGTGGTGGAAAATTATCATTTACCAAAGTTAAACAAATTACAACCCTGCTGGAAAATGTTCTCTTATCCTCATCATGAGCCCCGTAGATAACTCATAATTAATCTTACAAGAGTAGCCAAACGTTTTGGAAAAATTTGATATCAGTTTCCAAACTGTGAAGTTGTCGCTTTGAAGACAATAAACTGGATGAGAGTCTTTGCTGTTCAGAACGACGCTGAAGTAGACAGTGGGTGGTAAAAACACTTGAAAAGCAAATCTCGCGGTCACTAACTAATCTCTTAAGAATTCAGATTAGAGCTACAAGGAAAAGAGTCTGACAATATCATCTTACCACTATGCAAAGATCCAGCCGTGTAGCTGCAGTTTAAGTCGTGAACGTAACGATGACTCGAAGCACAGGGATAGAACGAAAATGAACCGGAGTTGTACGCGGAGAGGCTGTGAAGTGGGTGAGAATCAAAGCGTACAGCCATCGGGTATTCTGTTTGGGATTTATAGCTCGCGTACGATTGTTGGTTAGATGGCTGAAGAGCTGAGCTTGGCCGGTACATGGAATTAAGGAACGACGACTGTGAACCTTCGTAAGCGTGCATCGTAAGTTAAAGATCTGACTTCGGTATTTTTGAAGCTGTGGTTGGCGCTCCACCCGAGTTCAAGAAGAGTGACTTCTTTTAAGGAGCAATCCAATTATATATAGCTTACAATTTCATTATTATTACAATACATTGTTCCCATTTTCAATTAATGACTTGGAACTAATTAAAAGTATATGCAGCCAAAAAATAAAAGCTGCCGGATACCTCATTGTAATGAAACTGTGAAATTTGGAAATGAGCTTCGACGTGAAGTTTCCAGCATCGAATAATAAACATTCGCCAATTTACGCAAGAGCAAACATCTCATCACGACCAACAGTCCATATGATCGGCTCATTTGCGAATTCCCTTTTATTGACGTCTTTGCTCTATTAAGCCAATGATAGCTGGAAACAGCTGATGAAAATTTTAAAGAGGGAGAAAATACTTCTTTCGATGAAATAAAATGTAAACACCATATCAAAATTCGGCGCAGTGTTTCCCTCAAATTTTCCACTTAACCAAGTCAAGTACGAGACAGGTCAATCAAGCCAGAGAGAAATTAACCTGTAGTTATGACGTATCCGGGATTTGTAGCGTGCGTAAACGCAATAAAGGTGTCATGATTGTAAGATTGGAAAACGAGGATGAGAATGAGACGAGCAGAAAGTGATTTGTCAAAGAATTGAATTTGATCAGCGATTCGTTTACGTATTGTTTCGCTGGCTTTCATGCACGGTGCGAGAATATTATCAATGAAAACCACCATATGGTTAATCGAAAATAGCTTCATTACAATTTAATAATCTCCCATACGAGCTGTTTGGAAATCTACTAAATAATGAATTTCACTTAAGCACAGAACTTTAGGGCATTAACGAGAAAATACGCCATTGTCGCGCGGGTTGGTTTGTAACTCTGGATATAAAATAAAAAAAATAAAAATAAAAAAAAAAATAAAAAAACGCGGCCCGAGAAATCATCACACCATGCTAAGAGATTGTGCTTGGCTAACTTCGAATTCTTAACCTATTAGCGTTCCACAAAAGACAAGCTTTGTTTGTTTAAACAAAGATGGCCCGTGGCTGATAAAGAGAGACATTCCGTCCTCGCAGTTCATTTATTTAAGCTAAGTAAATTTCAATTAAGAAATATCCGGTAGAGCTTTTGATACTTTGCCATGATAAAATGAAAGTGTTAGAGCAAAATTATTCTGTTTTGTTCTTGCTCACCTTCTTATTCAAGCAGTGCTTTACAAAAAGGAAAGAAATCTTTAAAGTAAAAGAGTATTCTTCACTCATAAAATTTATTAATTTTCTTGGCGTGGCAAGATGCCCCTATATATCTATACATTTTTTAGGGCAGCCTAAGATAATTTCATGTATCGTTTGAATTTCTAGGACAGGCAGACTATTTTTGTTTTATACATAACAACAACTTGCTTTATGATTTAAAACATTGAGTTGTATCTTTTATTGAACACTTGTTTTTTTCAAAAACCCATTTAAATAAAATCGTTGAACTTTTCGCACTTTTCGCTTTCAAAATTTAATGAGATTTTAAAACATTTCCCTGTCCTTTAAAAGAAGCTCCGAAGTGATACCCTAATGCTCATGTAACTATTGATTATTTTCCTTTATGCACTTAGGCAGCGAGTAAAACTCTTCTTTAAACTGTAGTCTAAACGATTCTTTCGCCCAAAGTTTCGGTAATTCCGACAGGATAAACACGATTATTACACGGGAGGTCTATACAGAGCTAATATGCGTGCAATACCTGTTATTTTGTCGCACTGCAAATGGAATATGCATTAAGCCATAACTGGGAGCTTTACAGTGAGATCATCACTAGTAAAAATCGGGTAAATTGAGCGAGATGACCCGCTGTCGCGAGTAAAAAGATCCGATTGATTTTACCATAATGGAACTGAACGAAAACAAAACCGGGGGGTATTTGAGCGTATACCCGAGTGAAAAAATGCTTCAGAAAAAGTTGCTGTTCGCGAATCAGTAATAAGAGGTATAACATTCGGTATTATGTTTAGGCGACAAAGTTTTGCTTCAAGTACAAAATCGGTACAAAATCGGTACAAAATCGCGGCAGATTCGGCTTTAACATGAGGTAAAAATTGATTTTAATAATTGTTAATTTTATTCTTTTTTGTTCGCACAGGTGATGGGATTTTATTGCCAATCAATCACTACATCACGTCATGATGCAAGGTTTTTATTTTTCTTTTGTAGAATATTCGCGGGCATTATCTTTGCTTCTCCTTGCCGTAAATGGTTGAGCGATTTTCAATAAAAGATTTATGATACATACGCCTTTCCGTCTTATAGGACATAAGATTTCTATTTTTTTCACTATGGGAAAAGGCCATCTGGACTTAGCTGTTTCACAATCACATCCCCGTACATTTTTCATAAGCTTGTTTATACAAAATACAAACATAGTGCAAACATCGCCATTTGCCCTTAACATCATTGGCAAACGATGTTTAAAGTTTCTTAACGCAGAATAAAAAGGGAATTACATTTTGACGAGTCAATCTGAATGTCGAAATGCGCACTTTTGCATGCATGAAGGATGCTAACGTCAGACCAGAATTTTTGAAAGCTTAAAAGCTTACTTTTTGTGGACAACACTAATTTAAACTGTCTCTAACCGGGTGAAATTTCAGGAAGTGGTATAAAAGCACGAATTGAAATACTGAATTCTCACAGCTGTGATCAAATGAACAGAGACAAAGAACAAGAACGTGTCGCAATTAACTTCTCCAAGAGATAAAATCAAAGTTACTTCTAGTTTTAACCAGCTTACGACGCTCATAGATAATAAACGTAGATAAAACTCGGGCCCATTTGAACGAGCTCCTCCCAACTTAAAAGCCGGTATATGTGCTTTCAGTGTCAACCTGGCTGTAAAGATGCACTGGTTATTTAAAACAACAACACTCGCTTGTTTGAAATCGCCTGCGAAAGATAATTTGATCGACTGAAAAATTCTCATAACTGACACTGAAGGAAAGATATCAGTGTTCTCCACTTTGGAGAACTTAACTTCTCAACATTCACACTTTTTTTTTTATTTGATCAATTCTTTTTAATAGTTTCTTTCGAATTTTTAAAATCATTTTAGAAATTATCGATAATTGATCGAATCGATTTATTTTCGCTGCAGCATTTTTAAGAACACTAAATCTCGATTGCTGTAACTTTAGCTATGATCTCGCATGTGGAAAAAAAGGGATGATTGCACTTATATACTTATCAAATTGCGACTCAGAGAGCGACTGTCTGTGTTAAGCTTATACAATCCAACTTTATTCGGTCATCAGTGGAAAGTTGACGGTCGCCTGAAGTCACGTGACTTATGCTTCGGTCCAGCGTTCCCTTAAAACTCGTGCAACAGACAACCAAAAAAACATAAAATAAACACCTCTAAACTCGAGGCAAATTGTCTACTTCTTTAATGCACTGCATTTATTAAATATTTATTCATTTCAGTTTTATCATCACGTCTTAAAGTTCCGGCTGGATATTCTTAATGGAAAATTAAAGTTACTTTCGTTTTAGTAAACCAGCCTTTACAGTATTTTGTTTCGAGGAGTATCATGCAAGCACTCGATTCAACAAAGCGCTGAAATCGATTAAACACATGTTAATATATTTATATTCTTTTTATATTTTAATGTTGTTTTGAAAGAATATTTAAGTCCCTTCTTTAGTTGAAAATCACGGTCGTTCAGAAATACCGGTAAGCTCGAAAAGTGAATTTCGAATTGGCAAGTACTACGAGTTGTAATTATGAACATTTGGAAAATCACAAGATCGAGCGTTTGCAAAACTAACGTTACCACTTGATAACAAGCGTTTATTTTCGCACTCTTTTCGATTGCTCCTAAACGATGCGTTGTTACACAAAATTACAACAATTCTTATATTCCCTAAAAATTATCTATGAATAGCAAGCTAAAATGTTATCCATTAAAACCATGTTAAATGATATTATTGTTAAAAGTTACATTTGTGCGGTGCTCTTTCATATATTGCGGTAATGGCGCCCTGTCGTTTTATACAACTTTAAAGCGCCCAAAATTGGTCGGAGGCTTTCGTACTCACTAAAAAAAGTCGTCCACTGGCGTTAGAATTAACATGTTTTTCTTCCATCCAGATTGCTAATTTAAAATTGAAATCATCCGAGTAAAACTGAAAATTGTTAAGAAAAGGAACACAACCTCAAGCTGCCAAATCTCAAGATATGTTCCCTCTCTTTAATACGGGGGAAAGGATCTTCGACAAAACACTCACATGAACTGATAAAACTATCGAAAGGTCCTTTGATTTGAAAGAACAATCCCCATTTTTTGAAGTTTAGTCTCGTGTTAAATGTCTTGTTATCATTACAATAATTGTGACAGGATAATATAATATCATAATGAAAGTGGCCGCATCTGAGATAGAAACAAGAAAATCTAAAAGAAAGAAGGTTAGCTGTTAAATGTTGCATGCCACCCATTTCTCTCACACTTTTCTTAAGATCTTTGTGCTCGCTTGACGCTTCGTTTTTACAAGATATCTTGCTGTTTTCTCTGTGTTCGTATTGTTTTTTTAGCAGAGAAACCTTCTTTTCTTGTTCAACCAGACTTCTTGCCAGTGGTAAAACAAGCTTCAGTGTTGTCACATACTGTAGAACACGTGAAACCACCAGGGACATTAAAACGCCTTTGTTCCCTAACTGGGTCCTCATCTGAATGAGTCCTTTGTTCCGACGGCCAGTATTGTTAGTATCAGCGTGAAAATGCTGCGTTCAATTGAGTTAAGTGATTTATGAACGAGCTTTTTCACAGGGGCTCTTAACTTGTGTGAGAAATGTAACCGATCTCTCAATGTTGAAATTTGCCTCTGATTATGGCGTTTATTTACAATAAAAAAGAGTAAAACTTTAAGTCGAGAACTGTAAATATATTTATATTCACCTCAGTGCAGGTAACTTCCACGTTTACGAGGGAGTTTTCATGTACCGATCTTTTGTCAGTAGGACAAGATTACGGGTTTGTCAGCGTCGAAGTGGTGGCTGTATTGTTCTAATAATAGCAAACAAAAAGACTCTATAATCGGCAACATTTGGTTGTATTGAACGATCGATTGTTCGACTTCAGCATGATGACAAATGAACTCCCACGGGAATTTCTGTTGCATTCTGACAACAACTAAAGGCAGAGATCAAGTTCAGTCGAAGGTAAAGAGTCAGTAGAGTAGAACGAAAGCGAAATATTATCTGGTAAACATATCTGCTATATATTTCTTCTTCAAAAAATGTTTTTCTTTTAGAAGTGAGGAATGATTCATTTCTACTCTAAAAGGGCTCAGGTAAGTTTTAAGATGATTAAAAGAAACATATACAAGTTTCTTTGCAAGCAAAAGTTATTTCTCAGATATTTTCTTTTCTTCCTAAGGAATTATAATTATTTGTAAGGTGTGGTTAGTTGTGGTGCTTTCGCGGAAAATGGCACACGATGATTTATACACCACTCAGGATCCAATTGGATATTAGGACGGGCTCGTGAATGGAGCCTCACAAGAACCTGATCTTAATTACATTAAGAAGCTTCAAAATCAAACCCAAGCACAATTTGTACCCAAGTGCCCAACAATATCTGTGTATTTTCTAAAAACTGGAAGTTGTAATTCCTTCTAAAGAGGTGTTTCAGTATTTTTACAAAAATGAAAAAATGAAAGGCGAACACATAAAGATTTGATAATAAATATATCCCTATGATTTTTTGCACTCCCTGGAATCTTAAGCAATTGTAGTCAGGAATTAAACGTGACACCTCCTTTGGGGCTCAACCTGGTGCAATGGCAACTCCAGGGGGAGTGTCTGAGGGGATCCGGATTCTCCTTCCCATTAGACCTGTGGGCATTTTACCACGTGTCCAACACCCAAATTGCTGCAAAAACAGTATCGCATGCTGCTACACAGTATGAACTATTTACTGTTTATTTGTCTTGTAGTATTTCTCAAGTTATTTAGAAATAGTTAAAAATGCTGTGTTTCTGAGTTTGTTTGAACCACCCGATCAAAAATTCTTGGATCCGTCCTTGTAAGTACATATGGGGGTTTGCGGGAAAGGATAGCGGGCTCATGTTCCCGATCAGCGGTTGGTAATCGAGCCTCCCCTTGTGACGCAAAAGATCCCATCTGAGCCTCTTTGTCAGTGCTTTGCCATATTTGGCAAGGTGGCGCACAGTTTTAATTGCAATAGCAAGCATTTGTGAATTATTTTAGCAAATTCACGACTTAAGCGTTTTAGTAAGTCAATTTTCTTAAATTGCATTCCCTTTTTAAATGTATTAAATATCTTTACTTATAAAATGGAGAAAAAAGGTCGTCTCTTTCCTCTTTAATCGTCCCTAGTCTTATTACTGCGGACGGAGGCTACGCTTCACAAGAACAACTTCGTAAAGGTTCATACTGCAGGGTGCAAAACATGGCTAGAGTCGAATCATAGGAGGTCTCTGCCATAACGAAGGTCGTCCCACTGACCAAACACTCTGACTGCGTTCGGTCTGACAGGTAGACTTCTCTAACTCGGTAATACCACTCCCCCCTCCCCTCCCAACAGAGGCAGGTGGCGCTCGTCACTGCTGACGCTTGCGTGACAAATCCAGCTTTAAAAAATTGCACAAAATTTGTCGATGAATCCTTGAAGGAACGAACACATATTTCCAATTCTTTTTATTTTGTCCACTAATTTTTTTTTTTCATTTATCCCACGTTTGCTATTTGGATTGAGTTTTAAAGTTCGTGTATGTGATGGCCGCAAAGTGCGGCAGCAAAGAATAATCACACCAGTTCGTAAGGATGAACGTATATACTACGATGTCTCTTATGCTGTTATTTGAACCCTTTTTAGACGCAACGTTGTGGCTTAAGTGAAGAGCGAAGAAGTATGAAGACGAGTAAACTCGAATCGTTAATAAAATCCTACTGGCGCTATGTAAACATTCCCATAGCAGCGTGGAAATGTCACGTCGCGCAGCTGACCTTTGTCATGGCAGGATGCAAATGATGTGCAGTCATTCATATCCTATGAGTAAAATAATGAATTTTCATTAAGTTGCGTTAAAGAAAGTTTCATTTACCTGACATTTCCTCTATTTCCTCCACATTGTGCACTTGCACCGTGGTCAAAACCTCTCCTTTCGTTTAACCTCCGTGCTTAAGAACTCACGATTAAAATGGCTCACACGGACTGTAGAACGAGGTGAAATGAAACGCCAAATCGTCTCAAAATTACGAGAAATGTGAAGACTTTCACTTCTGTGGATAGGAAGACCTTCGTTCTAAATTTCAGTTGAAAAATATCGTCAAATTCAACCACCAAAAGTCGCCTGATGCATGTCGACTCAATAATGACTCAATAATGTTGCCACGTTGTGGAGAAAGAGCCCATGGTGATCAGACTAACCTAAACTAAGGGCAGCGGTGTAAGTTTCCCGCCAGAGGAGCAATCCACAGCCTTGGGTCATTTTGGCTCCCTGTCAGCGGTATGGTCATCAAGAAATGACCTCTTTCTTTCCATAAATCATCTTTAATCGTCTTTAAAGAGGCTAGGGTCTCATTGGGGGTTAATTATTATGCCTAAATCTGCTAACACATTTAGAGGAAAGTTGTCAAATTTTAACCGCGAGTTGTAAAAAAAGTAGACCGTAAATAATTTTTTCCTCTTTGCAAAGTGTCATTAGGGTTAGTCGTAAAATGGCCTAAATTGTGACCGTTGGCCGTAGAAGCCATCATCCTATTAAGACCCCCTTTTAACAACTCGGAATTCTTAAAATGTGTAATTTAAGGTCGGGTTACAAAGAAGAACGATAAAAAATATGTCTTTATTCAATAAATTATACATTTAAATGAAAACCTAAATCGTTACTTTTTCAATGTGCCCTTAAAGCCAGATTAAAAATATAAACTTTTCGTTTGAAATAATAAGGACATTTAAGATAGATCTTGTAAAACCAAACCTGACCAAAGTAATAAAATACGACCACTTAGAGCTGAAAAACAAACGTAATATTTGCGAGGCGATGACAACTCAAGTAAATTAAAAATAAGCCAACTGTTTGAAGCTCGGGGAAACACGGGTGACCAAATCACGATCGCTCTGCATTTTGAATCTGATTGGTTGGGAAATAGGTTGAGGTTTCTGGACCATATTACATCTCAAAGTAAAGTAAACCAAAGCAAAATGGGCCGGTTTGCTTTCGACAATCAATTGAAATTTTCTTTTTTTATCACCAAGGTGATTAAGTCATCAATCGGACGATGAAAAGCTTTGGAATAATTCATTTATTTCCTCGTCACATTATTTGTTGTAGAGATGGGTAAAGTTTGGGTGATAAAAACTAATTTTAAATTAAACTTTAGAATTTTCTGCAATATCAAACAATGTCGTGTTCATCGTCTTCAAGGCCTTCTTCATCTGAGTCCGACACAACTGAAATATAAATTTGGAATCATAAATGAATTGTAATATACAAGCCGACTGACTATTGAACGAAGGGGTAAGTTTCTAAAGAAACAATAGTGCTGCGTCAATGGGAGTAACAAGACTATTTGGTTTTATCAACTGAGTTGATAAAGTAAATTGACAACCGTAAAAAACGGCCGAAGGAACGAACGAACAACCTGGCAAACGACCGACCGAACGATTGTCTGACTCACTGATTCACTTTCTGTCTGACTGACTGCTCGAACAACCGACCGATAGACAGACTGACCGAGTGACTGACTGAAAAACTGGGACCGACTAACTTGTCCACTGCCCTGATGCAGTCTGATTGATTAACGGTCTAACAAGGGAGACAGAATGTGCGATTTAGGGAGACTTTGGCTGAATTCTTAAAAAGCAGAGAGACAAACTCTGGAATAATACAACAATGATATAAAACAACATTTAAAAATAAGCTCTGTAAAACGTACCCGTGGACATAACGTCTATTTCTCCTAAAACCATTTCAAGCTGATTGACCATCTCTATGGAGTTACGACGCCGTTTGTCCTCTCTATTTTCTTCATCCCTCAGCATTCTAACTTCTTTCTGGGACACACTTTGTCGTCTTATCTTAATTTCAGGTAAAGGTACTTTCTGTTGCGTCCACATGTTTATCATTTTATCAACCAACGCGGCCCGCTTCAAAGCACTTTTCCAAATGTCACGTAACCTTTCCCGAGCTTGTTGTGCGACGCCTGATTGCAGATGCTCCTGTCCTTCCTCGGGTAGCCCATAAGCATGGCGTGACACTTGAGGTGACTCTAACGCGTTTAAACTTAAATAAGATTTTCTATTCCGGCGATCTTTATCGCGCGAATACTTTTCTCTCAGACGTTTAAGTTCTGATCTATTTCTCTTGTCCTCTTCTTCCCTTTTCTTGTACTCTTTCAAACTGTGGTCTATCTCAGAGTGTAGTGTTCTAGACTGCAATAAAATTATACTGTCTTTTAATCTCTGCGCCCTCACTGACTTATCTGTAGAATTGGCATATATTCCTTTTAGCCTCTTGTAAAACATGGCTTCCTTTTCATTCATCGCTACGATTTCGTTCCTCTTGCTCGCAGATGTTAATCCTGTTTTTGCTAGGTGGCTCATAGTTGGGTTTGGTCGCTCGTGATTTGTGCAGCCTTTTGTGTGCACATTAGTTTGTTCTGCACGCATTCTAGCCCATGTCTTAGCCCAAGCCTGTTGTCCCCTATCTGCTGTTTCGGTTCTAATTCCAACTTTCCTGTTCCCTACCCGCACATTGTATTCCATTGGTGGAAGATTTCGTGAGCGTAATTCCGTGGTGGACATTGCGCGTCTGTTGAAGCCCTTTTCTAACGTGGACACTGATGGGAAAAAGACACCGATTTATTGACGACTCTCGTACCCAGATTTTTCACGGCCAAGCGGTTGTAAGGTCCCTACATTTCAGTTACAATTACACGAGATTAGGTACGAGTTTAGTCAGGGACCAGTCATTATTCATCGCCTGAAAGGGATTTTGGAGGGATCACATGGTTTACAAGGACAACGGTGGGATTCAGTCGACGCCAACAGAGTATAAAGGGGAGACCATTGAGGATTGACTACCAATGAGGTGGAGGAGGAGGGATGGTGAGACTTAATCTTCGCATTTCTGATACTCTAATTTTTAAAGTTGTCAACACAAATGAAACCTCGAGCCCCATTTAAAAGGCCACCAATGACGATTGCTTTCCAACACCTTCCTCACGTTTCACATAAATAAAGAGTAGGTATTGTCGTGTGTCTGTTCTGTAAGAGGTCACAAGTGACGTCAAAATGTGACAAAAATTAAAAGAAAGGACGCGTGGGGGTGGGGGGCGGGGCATGAACATTGTGCAGAGCCTTAGTGAGGGGATCAGGTAAATGTTATAGTGAAACAAACCAAAATCCCCCGACCCCTCCTCCCCGAGCGATAGACAATGAGCGGTCCATTGCGACGAAATATATGGGTCGATGGAAGAGTGTTGAAAAATATTATGAATTATACTGTAAGACTGAAATATTTTCCCACGATAGTCAAGTGAAAATAGCAGAAAGCAGAGTTATCACTAAGCACCAGACCCTTTCTTTCTCTTTAGATTTAATGGTTGGATGCTCTACCGACCGAGCCGGCACAAGAAACCCGTCGGTAAGGTTATTTAAAAATGATGTTACTTCCTTAGTACCAATTGAGGAATTCCGTAAATGAATGGCTCTTCTACAGCCCCGCACTAACCCTTTTAGAAAGAAGTTTTTCTTACAAAGCTGTTGAGGTGTGGTACAGCCTATTACGAGATCTACGATCTGTGGCTTCCTTCAATGAATTCAAACGCAGGCTACGTCATCAAAACTTTAAAAGAGACACGGTGTCCTTGAAAAGCAGTCTTAGGGCATGATGGGTTTTATCTTATTTTATTGGCTAGATTAGTTCGGCAGAATTGAGGTTTTATTTGTAAATGAATTATGCTGAAGGAATTTTAACCTTGTATAATCAAAGTTAGCAATAAATTAAGTAAAGTCAGATGCTTCGGTTATATGGGAGTTTTCTTCGTAAGAGTGGAACTGGCTCTAGTCGAAACGTTCCAATTCTACTACGAATAAGACAGCCTTCTTAATTTCACTTTAAGGACAAATCATGAGGGACTTTAAAGAGATTCCAGGGCAATTACGAGAAAGAACACAGCGCTATCATTCGAAGACAAACTTTCCCTTTGTAGAAGTCAAGCGCGCTAACCATTTGGTATCGCGTCTCCCGAGAGAAGGTTGACAAAAGTCTTCCTTAAAGGCTCGGGATGAGAAAGCCTGTGTTTATACTTACGTCCAGCGGGTCGTGAATTAGGCCAGCTTCTAGCACCAGTCCCCGGAACTAAAATTGGACGTTGTCTCTGAAATGCCATCCAGGCCTCCTGCGTCTCCCTTCTCTGGTGATTACGAAAGCTAAAAAGAACAACAGTACATGCGGTGACTTGGTTATCATTCACTCCCACGGATTCACTCTTACTACACTTGGATCAAAAATTAGAGCATTATTTTATTCAGTGACACACTCTGCTGCGTCTCGAGTGCCACTCTTTGGTTCTTACAACATTTTGATGACATCTGTGAACTGAACAGACACACGGCAACACGAAATACACTTGTTATTTAAACTCCAAATACCTACTACTTGCTCGCAAGCATTTGCACACAGAGTGAAAACGTTAGAACTAACTTTGAAACTTTTTTGGCGTTTTTCTCGGGAGTGATGATTTGAGAATTGGAGGAGAAGAGAGCAAAGTTTATTTCATTTTTGCGGTTTTTCTGCGGTAATTCTTGAACTTATCTATAATAATTTTACACAACCGAAGTACTTACCGTCAAATTCGTTTTGTTTAAATTTCTAATTGTTGCATACATTAAGTGTGAGAAAAATGAAAAAAAATTGCTCTGAAACAAGGAAGTATCTCGCAAACATACATGTTCTACAGTATGTTGCGTTTACGATTTATTTCAAAATTATAACTAGTGTTTCGATTGACATGTCGGCCTTAAGTACAAGTTTTCTTGTCAGGAACATGTCAAGATGCAAGTGGAATTAAAGAAATTTCTGGTAAAAATTTAAGTTTCGCTCGGAGCAACTAAGTCAGCGGAAGTTCGCTACATGCAGGTTAAACAATTTTTTACATCCCAAAACATGGAATAATTTATCATACTTCGGAAACAGCTACATAGCGAACGGGAAACAGAGTGGGGGAAAATGATTGTAAAGGAAGTCTTTTCTCAAACATTAATCACAACCTGCGGAAATGTTGTGAAAATTTAATTTATTCAAACGATAATTGTCTTGGAAACATTGATCAGATGGAGAGAAAATTGACAATCGAATGTCCCCATTGCGTCAACTCTTCGCACTCAGTCGGAAATTTACAGAAGCTTTGTCGCCTCGGTGTATATTTACTGGCTCTTAAGAGATTTATTGCTCTGCTGTTGGCAAACACATTTTTGCGCGGAATGAATATTTCCCTCGTTTCTAACTATAAGTGTAACTCCGTTATAACTAGCAAGTAATTTTTGGTATATCAACAACGAATAAAACTGATTACATCATTGCATTGTTAGCGCTTTGATGGACACAGCAGAATAAATACACCATTTCTTCAACAGTTCAAAATATAAGAACTTCTTATATTCATTGTATCTCATTTATCACTTTCACGGGTTTATTACGAATCAACTTAACGGCCTGCTCCCAGTTGGCTTGTTAGCTCAATTGGTAGAGCGCTGCACTAGTATCGCAGAGGTCAGTGGTTCGAGTCCCGTACAGGCCTGATTTTTTTCAGGTCTGATTTTCGCTATTGCATAAATAGCGCTATCTACTGCGAGGATCGTGCATCATACGTATCTAATACCGCAGTTCAAAATATAAGAACTTCTTATATTCATTGTATCTCATTTATCACTTTCACGGGTTTATTACGAATCAACTTAACGGCCTGCTCCCAGTTGGCTTGTTAGCTCAATTGGTAGAGCGCTGCACTAGTATCGCAGAGGTCAGTGGTTCGAATCCCGTACAGGCCTGATTTTTTTCAGGTCTGATTTTCGCTATTGCATAAATAGCGCTATCTACTGCGAGGATCGTGCATCATACGTATCTAATACCGCAGTTCAAAATATAAGAACTTCTTATATTCATTGTATCTCATTTATCACTTTCACGGGTTTATTACGAATCAACTTAACGGCCTGCTCCCAGTTGGCTTGTTAGCTCAATTGGTAGAGCGCTGCACTAGTATCGCAGAGGTCAGTGGTTCGAGTCCCGTACAGGCCTGATTTTTTTCAGGTCTGATTTTCGCTATTGCATAAATAGCGCTATCTACTGCGAGGATCGTGCATCATACGTATCTAATACCGCAGTTCAAAATATAAGAACTTCTTATATTCATTGTATCTCATTTATCACTTTCACGGGTTTATTACGAATCAACTTAACGGCCTGCTCCCAGTTGGCTTGTTAGCTCAATTGGTAGAGCGCTGCACTAGTATCGCAGAGGTCAGTGGTTCGAGTCCCGTACAGGCCTGATTTTTTTCAGGTCTGATTTTCGCTATTGCATAAATAGCGCTATCTACTGCGAGGATCGTGCATCATACGTATCTAATACCGCAGTTCAAAATATAAGAACTTCTTATATTCATTGTATCTCATTTATCACTTTCACGGGTTTATTACGAATCAACTTAACGGCCTGCTCCCAGTTGGCTTGTTAGCTCAATTGGTAGAGCGCTGCACTAGTATCGCAGAGGTCAGTGGTTCGAGTCCCGTACAGGCCTGATTTTTTTCAGGTCTGATTTGCGCT